CAAGTCTCTGAATGTCTTTGAGGGTCCCAGCCAAAGCCCAGACTTGAACCCGATCAAATATCTCTGGAGACACCTGAAAATAGCTGTCCAGCGACAATCCCCATCCAACCTGACAGAGCTTGAGAGGATCTGCAGAGAAGAATGGGAGAAACTCCCCAAATACAGTAGTGCCAAGCTTTTAGCGTCATACCCAAGTAGACTCGAGGCTGTAATCGCTGCTAAAGGTGCTTCAACAAAGTACTGAGTAAAGGGTCTGAATACTTATGTAAATGTGATATTTCCTTCTTTTTTTTCTTCTTTTTTTTCCGTGTTTTTGCTTTGTCATTATGGGATACTGTGTGTAGATTAATGAGGGGGAAAAAACTATTGAATCCATTTTAGAATAAGGTTGTAACATAACAAAATGTGGAAAAAGTCAAGGGGTCTGAATACTTTCCGAATGCACTGCATATAAATCATTAGTAACACCTTCCTAATATTGAGATACACCCCCCCCCCCCCTTTTGCCCTCAGATCAGCCTCAGTTCGTCAGGGCATGGACTGTACAAGGTGTCGAAAGTGTTCCACAGGGATGCTGGCCCATGTTGACGCCAATGCTTCCCACAGTTGTGTCAAGCTGGCTGGATGTCTTTTGAGTGGTGGACCATTCTTGATACACACAGGAAACTGTTGAGCGTGAAAAACCCAGCAGGATTGCAGTTCTTGACACAAACCGGTGCTCCTGGCACCTACTACCATACCCCATTCAAAGGTGCTTAAATATTTTTTCTTGCCCATCTACCCTCTGAATGGCACACATACAAAATCCATGTCTCAATTGTCTCAAGGCTTAAAAATCCACCTTTAACCTGTCTCCTCCCCTTCATCTACACTGATTGAAGTGGATTTAACAAGTGACAACAATAAGGGATCATAGCATTTACCTGGATTCACCTGGTCAGTCTATGTTCTTAAAGTTTTGTATAATCAGTGTATAACAGCGCTTTAGTCCGCAATGCTTTATGCTAGAAAAAAGCTGTAAAATGCCGGGGAAAGACGTGACTCCAATACCTATGGGACATCTCTGGTTTGTCTCTATGACGGTCGGAGGCTGCGCTACAACCTTCTATAGCTGAGGAGACAAAATATTTACTTTGCTTCGGAATTAATGTGTGATTCTGTCACTATGAATTGACTTTCAACATTTAACAGGCTATTAAACAACATACTAACTCTAAATCAGTCAGGAGCAAGCCAGGTAGCCAAAGAAGGAACAAAAATTAATTATTTAGGTTATATTATTATTTCAAGGCTATAGCCTACCATTTAAGAAATCGATTGTGAAGCATTTGTGCCTTTGAATTCACTTTTAGAAACAGTCTTTGGTTTGAGGATCATGCGGTGAGCTATGCATGCCTAGTTTGTTTATTTAGTCTAGCAGATATTCTTATATTCCCATGCCCTAATCACAGTCAACACAAATCTGTTTTGTAACAAAAATGTCATGGAAAAAAATATAATAAATTAGAAAATGATAGTTTCCCAAATAAAAAAAGTTACAATGCATATAGGCCTATCTGATGATATGTGGCTGCTGTGTTAAAAAACGAATGGCTTTTGTTGCGCTAAATGTTTACAGTTGATAGACAACTTTAGCACTGTTCCAAACTTAGACTATCCTCTTTTTTTACAATATCCTGTGTAGAAATCAAAACGTCTCCGGTGCTGCAGCATGTGCTCATTCCTTGTCATGCTCTGTTGTGGTATTGTGGTACTATGATGTAAAATTATTTGGAGTGGCATGAAATGCATTTATGAAAGGCTTTTTTCTCTGACTGCAAATAAGGTGATAAATTCATGCAGTTCTTTCATTATAATGGAGAACTTTTCATCCCTACCCTTGTCCGCAGTGCTCTGCGAATCCACAACCTTCTGGCTACTTTGCCATGTAATGCTTACAAAACAAAGGACCGTTTCTAAAAATGCATAGCTAAGTCTCTGCTCTGTCCTAGGAATGAGGGTAAACGGTAAGCATGTTATCTGTTACCCAAAATAATAATTAAAACGTAAGGGGAGGGTCGGGTAAAAATATACACTGCTCAAAAAAATAAAGGGAACACTAAAATAACGCATCCTAGATCTGAATGAATGAAATAATCTTATTAAATACTTTTTTCTTTACATAGTTAAATGTGCTGACAAAAAAATCACACAAAAATTATCAATGGAAATCAAATTTATCAACCCATGGAGGTCTGGATTTGGAGTCACCCTCAAAATTAAAGTGGAAAACCACACTACAGGCTGATCCAACTTTGATGTAATGTCCTTAAAACAAGTCAAAATGAGGCTCAGTAGTGTGTGTGGCCTCCACGTGCCTGTATGACCTCCCTACAATGCCTGGGCATGCTCCTGATGAGGTGGCGGATGGTCTCCTGAGGGATCTCCTCCCAGACCTGGACTAAAGCATCCGCCAACTCCTGGACAGTCTGTGGTGCAACGTGGCGTTGGTGGATGGAGCGAGACATGATGTCCCAGATGTGCTCAATTGGATTCAGGTCTGTGGAATGTGCGGGCCAGTCCATAGCATCAATGCCTTCCTCTTGCAGGAACTGCTGACACACTCCAGCCACATGAGGTCTAGCATTGTCTTGCATTAGGAGGAACCCCGGGCCAACCGCACCAGCATATGGTCTCACAAGGGGTCTGAGGATCTCATCTCGGTACCTAATGGCAGTCAGGCTACCTCTGGCGAGCACATGGAGGGCTGTGCGGCCCCCCAAAGAAATGCCACCCCACACCATGACTGACCCACCGCCAAACCGGTCATGCTGGAGGATGTTGCAGGCAGCAGAACGTTCTCCACGGCGTCTCCAGACTCTGTCACGTCTGTCACATGTGCTCAGTGTGAACCTGCTTTCATCTGTGAAGAGCATAGGGCGCCAGTGGCGAATTTGTCAATCTTGGTGTTCTCTAGCAAATGCCAAACGTCCTGCACGGTGTTGGGCTGTAAGCACAACCCCCACCTGTGGACGTCGGGCCCTCATACCACCCTCATGGAGACTGTTTCTGACCGTTTGAGCAGACACATGCACATTTGTGGCCTGCTGGAGGTCATTTTGCAGGGCTCTGGCAGTGCTCCTCCTGCTCCTCCTTGCACAAAGGCGGAGGTTGCAGTCCTGCTGTTGGGTTGTTGCCCTTCTACGGCCTCCTCCACGTCTCCTGATGTACTGGCCTGTCTCCTGGTAGCGCCTCCATGCTCTGGACACTACGCTGACAGACACAGCAAACCTTCTTGCCACAGCTCGCATTGATGTGCCATCCTGGATGAGCTGCACTACCTGAGCCACTTGTGTGGGTTGTAGACTCCGTCTCATGCTACCACTAGAGTGAAAGCACCGCCAGCATTCAAAAGTGACCAAAACATCAGCCAGGAAGCATAGGAACTGAGAAGTGGTCTGTGGTCACCACCTGCAAAACCAGTCCTTTATTGGGGGTGTCTTGCTAATTGCCTATAATTTCCACCTGTTGTCTATTCCATTTGCACAACAGCATGTAAAATTTATTGTCAATCAGTGTTGCTTCCTAAGTGGACAGTTTGATTTCACAGAAGTGTGATTGACTTGGAGTTACATTGTGTTGTTTAAGTGTTCCCTTTATTTTTTTTAGCAGTGTATATAGCCTAATATATAGGCTATACGAATGATGCATTCATATATTAATTAACTTCTAATTAACTTCTAACTTATACATCTCTCTGTCTTCTTCACTGTTCCCTTCTGGCGCAATTCACTCATCTCCGCTGGCAACTTCACTGGCCTTTCTCTTCCCCCTCTCTCTAGCTCTTTAACGAGTAAGGTGCTAAAAAAAAGGTGCTATCTAGAACCTAAAAGGGTTCTTCGGCTGTCCCCATTGGAGTACCCTTCTAAGAACCCTTTTTGGCTCCAGGTAGAACTCTTTTGGTTTCCATGTAGAACCCTTTCCACAGAGGTACCTGGAACCAAAAAGTGTTCTACCTGGAACAAAAAAGGGTTATCCTATGGCGACAGCCAAAGAACCCTTTTGGAACCCTTTTTTTGTAAGTGTATATATAGACACTGAACCGTAATATACTGTAGTTTAAACTTATTTTGAGCAATTTTTTAAAAACGAGGACAGAAGCATCGATCGATCCGCTTGCTTGCTGAATGCCTATAAAATAGGCAACAGCGTTGTCAATGAACTGGCAGGGAAATTTGAATGGTGAGAGCGACGTGTAGCTCTGGTGTGACGTGATCACGTTGGCTAAATTGATACATTGCTGCACTGATGGATTGCAAACATAAAAAACAGGCACAGAGAAATGAATAATCAATTCACACAACAAAACCACAGACCTGTCAGTGGCAGTGTCCTAGATAACAATTTATATTGGTCAACAACTTATTTTCGCATGTGAAAAGATGCAAAAATCGAACCTGTTCCGAATAAATAATTCACGGTTTGCGATAGGACGATATTTTGCAATTGGTGTAAACATCGTCATAAATAAGACGTGTTCATATAAAAAAAAATCACGGACTTGGTGAGAAAGGGCCTTTACTTTGTTCCCTGGTCTCCCCTACTTATACGACACATCCCACCCACACCCTCCGAACATTCCTCCATTCAATTCAACTAAATAAACGTTATTTATTCCCAAGGGGAAATTACTGTCCCATAGAATTTAATTTACTATAACTTCAAGGAGAGAATTGGACATTCCATGAATTGGACATTCCAATTCAAAGCAATGTACAGTATGTGGACCGCTGACAGTATCATTTATAATGTTTGATTAATTGTTGCTAAACACATCACATGAGAGTTCAGTGCCTCTAGTGACGCTGCACGTTCACGATTATATTATACCTTCCACCTGTCCTTATTTTATTTACATATAACAAATTACAATGAATCAGTACTTCTCAAATAAACCTCAAATAAAAATAAAGTATGTGCTCATTTGAGAAATTTGTTCTATTTCACTTTGCCCATATTTTTTATGAGGATACACACATGAACAGGGTCCAGGGATAACAAATGTACTGACCGTTGAAGCTGGCGTCGCGTATGTACTTGAGCAGGGTCTTCCCCTCGGCTGCCTCCATCCCAGGGCAGATGCCAGAGTGCTCAGGACACAGGTCTCTCTGTATGTTGTGGAGGGCGTGAGCCATGGCATACACAGCGTCTATTACAAACTGTACCTTCCCCTCCTGCTCGTACTTGGAGTCTATCCCGATCCGCTCCTGGCCTGAGGGATGAGACGGGAGAGAGGGGAGGTCAAGAAAAGGACAGAGTCACACACTGTGAATTACTCACCCTATTGTGTATGTAGAACAGCATGGGTCACAGTCCGGAGTTCTGTTGCAGTAGTGCAAAACCAAATGCTACTCAAGAAGGAGATGAGCAGGTGGAACTGAATACCGTAGGTAAATATGCATATTTCATAGTGAAGTCAGCCCACTATAGGCCCTATTGTTGAGATTTGTATAACTTTTGTCCCATTTTAGGAGTGTTCAAGGCCATGACGAGAGGCATTCTAGAGGCATCTCCTAGCATTGTCAGCAGACCCATGTTCTATTACTGTCTCCCTTCAGTGCTCCTCTGTCCTTTCACTATGGACTAGAACTTTTCATTTCACTTGTGATACCCTGACTGAATGTGTAATGAATGGCTTCAGGTTGGTGGGGGATTTCTTCTCTCTCACCTTTTTGTGGGTGGGGAGCCTTTGACTGAGGTATAATGCCATTTTTTACATGCTAATGTGAACAGGTTATGTCATTAAGCGTGGCATATGGACGCTGAATATATTCATTTGAAACACGCAAGCAGTAATTAACAAGGATGCATTAACTGGAAAGCAGCTCGTAAATCCAAAGTACAAAATAACAGATTAACTGTGGTGCGCTATAGAGCACTGTAGGGAAAAGCTGCCAGAGTGCAAGGAGATCACAGAGTGATTTTCACATGTAAATACTGAATAAAGACTCCCAGTGCACGTTGCGAACTTGAAGGAAAAAAGACAGGCTGTGTCACCTTGACGAATATGAATATAATGTGGGAGACTGGCAAAAGCTTTAAAAGGTCAAAAGCAATAAATGTTGACATTCTCTCCAGTTTCTCTTCTTTCAACAAACATTTCAGCCCACAGATAACCTTTGTTGTTTTCCAGAGCAGTGAGTAGAGCGTTGATAGAAAAACCTTTGAATGCAAAAAAAAAACCTTCCCCTCAGTACCTCACATTCATAAATATTGATCGGCTTGGTTAGATGTGAAAAAGAGAGAAATGGAAGCAGCTCTACGCCGACTTCACAGTTAAAAGAGAATATCTTCCTTAGTATGGCTGAAGGACGTGGATGTGAATAAGAGGCATATTAGTGTCTTTGTACAATGCTTATAAGCTTTGTTGATATTCTATATACAGTTTTTATGTGGTTTATGATCTGTAGCATGCGGCACCTAAAGAAATGATGAAAGATGCTATATAACATATTATACAAACAAATCCCTGTCACTCCAACTGCTATAGCTACAAGGCCGGCCCTTCAGTACTTCACAGGAAAGCCATATCAAATATATAAATCCCTGTCACTAGCACTGACATAGTAGTATTGTATCTCTTTTAGCTTTGCTGGCATACCTGTAGGATGGATAGATATCATATTAAAAAAAAACACTTCCACACTATCAACGCTCCCAAGTCCCAACACACCTCATTACGAATAATGCTTGCAGCTAGATTAAAACAGTGTCAGTAATAAAGCTCTTTGGGAGCATCAATAGTGAGTTACTGTATCTGCAGAGCTTTACTTACTTTCATCATTTCTGTGTAGTTTCTCTGATCAGCATCTCTCCAAATGGCATGCATGTTTGCTCTACCAGCTACTTAGCATACATAAAACAGCTGAACACTGCTGACATGGTGCCTTTACCCAACTGGGCACAACTTTACTCTCTCAGTAGGACCAGCTATTTAAGCTATTTGCATTATCCAGTGGGCCTACACCTTCAAGTCTGCATTAAAATGTGTACTACAATTCAAGTCTATTCCTATACCTGTACCCTTGTATAGGAGCATTACATGCATTAAAGTGCAAATGCATTCAATTGGCAATGGTGCACTATTAAAATAAGTAGCATTTGTCCAGTGTAAAGTACAACGTTTACTTTACTATGGACCAATGCTACTTCTTTTAATAGTGCACCATTGCCAATGGCAATGCCCCCTCCCACAAACAAACAAATGAAAATACAAATACCCAAGAAAACAAATCTCTGGCTACCTACCTGTGCATTTCCTGCTGGTGTCCTCTCGTTTGGAGGAGCTGAGGAGCCTGCAGTCAAAATTTTCCTCCCAGAACTCAGCGAACCACACATTCCTGCGATTATTCTCCAGGGTGAGCGAGGTGAAGTATTCATCAAACCCTGGAGAATCGAAAAAGAAAAGAGAATTCTGGAAGTAATAAAGCGAGACTTGGGCAGTGTTCCTGGAGCACTGTGCTGTACTGGCTGTTAAGAGTTGTATTAGTCTCATAGCTACCGTACAACTAAACCACTGTTCATTCAAGTTTGACCACTGTAGTTCCTGTGTACCACCTGGATCTTTAATCTTGGAAATCACATGAATATGACATGATGCATTGTAAATAAGAACAGGGTTTGTATGTGAAGTCTATACGCTACAGTATTTCCTTTGAGGGCAGTACCTTGTAGGTGTCTGTATATACAGAGTATATATCCATTAACTTTTGTGTAATACACTTTATGCTTTGGGCATTTATATTTATTTATGAGAAAGCCTTCTGTGGGGGTTCTATATACGCACCTGTATGTCTATGTATTTTATGTTGCACTCTTTTTTAAAACTTCTTCTACCGTGTGTAAATGAATTACTGTAATATACAATGAAATCAATAGATCAGCAGTAATATTAATCAATACCAAGTACAAAGACAGAGCTAGGCTTGATGTATCATTTCCAGCTGTGATGTACTCATAGTCCTACAGTAATGTCTACACAGGTTTCCTCTCTCTCACACGGTCAGTTTTATCAGCTGAATCAGAGAGATAATGACTAATCATGAATGAATGACTCGGCTGATTTTCTTTTGAAAGTGACATCAATGATGCATGCTGGTTTAATATACTCCTCTTGCCTTCTGGCTCTTACCAGACTAAGTCTTGTCCTGTCTAGACCTCTCTAATTAAAAAAGCTTTATAAAAACCCACACTTCACTTTCCACCTAGTCCCCAGATTGTAATGATAAATGGCTATTATTGTAGTGACACTGAGTAGAACTGCTGGTAAAACAGTAGAGATTGTGAGCTATGCACAAGACCACAGTACAACAATATGCGTTCTACTGTCTCCTACAACTGCACATAGCCAAGTTTGTGGTCATTATAGTGTATATGGTCCATATAGTGTGTGTGTGTGTGTGTGTGTGTGTGTGTGTGTGTGTGTGTGTGTGTGTGTGTGTGTGTGTGTGTGTGTGTGTGTGTGTGTGTGTGTATGTGTGTGTGTGTGTGTATGTGTGTGTGTGTGTGTGTGTGTGTGTGTGTGTGTGTGTGTGTGTGTGTGTGTGTGTGTGTGTGTGTGTGTGTGTGTGTGTGTGTGTGTGTGTGTGTGTGTGTGCGTGCGTGAGCGCGTGCGTGCGTGCGTGTGTGTGTGTGTGTACCTTTAATAGATGAGCGTTTGGGCAGTATAGTGACTGCTCCCACAGCCACGTCCTCTAACTGGTGTATTGGACTACTCTTCGCCCCCCAACTGTCCGATCCAATCCACAGGAAATGGCCCACCTGATTGGCTCTCTTGGTGGCATTGAGAACTCCCCTGCAAAGGCAGCCATGTGTGAATTAGGAGAAAGCAGAAGGGACACATGCAATCCATTAGGGGGGTACACAGAAACCTATGAAGATGCATACAGTTGAAGTTGGAAGTTTACACACACTTGTGCATGAGACAAGTAATTTTTTTAACAATTGTTTACAGACAGATTATTTCACTTATAATTCACTGTATCACAATTCCAGTGGCTCAGAAGTTTACATACACTAAGTTAACTGTGCATTCATACAGCTTGGAAAATTCCAGAAAATGATGTCATGGCTTTAGAAGCTTCTGAGAGGCTAATTGACATCATTTGAGTCAATTGGAGGTGTACCTGTGGATGTATTTCAAGGCCTACCTTCAAACTCAGTAACTCTTTGCTTGACATCATGGCAAAATCAAAAGAAATCAGCCAAGACCTCAGAAAAAGAATTGTAGACCTCCTTGGGAGCAATTTCCAAATGCCTGAAGGTACCACGTTCATCTGTACAAACAATAGTATGCAAGTATAAACACCATGGGACCACGCAGCCATCATACCACTCAGGATGGAGACGCGTTCTGTCTCCTAGAGATGAACGTACTTTGGTGCGAAAAGTGCAAATCAATCCCAGAACAACAGCAAAGGACCTTGTGAAGATGCTGGAGGAAACAGGTACAAAAGTATCTATATCCACAGTAAAACAAGTCCTATATCGACATAACCTGAAAGGGCGCTCAGCAAGGAAGAAGCCACTGCTCCAAAACCGCCATAAAAAAGCCAGACTGTGGTTTGCAACTGCACATGGGGACAAAGATCGTACTTTTTGGAGAAATGTCCTCTGGTCTGATGAAACAAAAATAGAACTGTTTGGCCATAATGACCATCGTTATGTTTGGAGGAAAAAGGGGGTCGCTTGCAAGCCGAAGAACACCATCCGAACCGTGAACCACGGGGGTGGCAGCATCATGCTCTGGGGGTGCTTTGCTGCAGGAGGTACTGGTGCACTTCACAAAATAGATGGCATCATGAGGAAGGAAAATGATGTGGATATATTGAAGCAACATCTCAAGACATCAGTCAGGATGTTAAAGCTTGGTCGCAAATGGGTCTTCCAAATGGACAATGACCCCAAGCATACTTCCAAAGTTGTGGCAAAATGGCTTAAGGACAACAAAGTCAAGGTATTGGAGCCATCACAAAGCCCTGTCCTCAACCTATAGAAGATTTGGGGGCAGAACTGGAAAAGCGTGTGCGAGCAAGGAGGCCTACAAACCTGACTCAGTTACACCAGCTCTGTCAGGAGGAATGGGCCAAAATTCACCCAACTTATTGTGGGAAGCTTGTGGAAGGCTACCCGAAACGTTTGACCCAAGTTAAACAATTTAATGGCAATGCTACCAAATACTAATTGAGTGTATGTAAACTTCTGTGTCACGCCCTGACTCTAGGACTTGTATTTGTTGAGTCAGGGTGTGTATTTTCTGTGTCGTGTTGTGCTATGTTTATTTTCTATAGTTAGTTCTAGTATGTATAGATCTAGGTTGGCAAGGGTGGTCCCAATCAGAGGCAGCTGTAGCTCGTTGTCTCTGATTGGGGACCATACTTAGGTAGCCTGTTGGCACTAGTGGGTTGTGGGATCTTGTTTCGTGTAAGGTACGTTGTGTGTATGCTACTTTGGACTTCACGTTTCGTTTGTTGTTTTGTCGCGTGTTCATTCGTCTAAATAAACATGTATGCTTATCACGCTGCGCCTTGGTCCTTCTCGTTCGTAAACGGTCGTAATAATAAATAATATGCCATTTAGCAGACGCTTTTATCCAAAGCGACTTACAGTCATGCGTGCATACATTTTTTGTGTATGGGTGGTCCCGGGGATCGAACCCACTACCTTGGCGTTACAAGCGCCGTGCTCTACCAGCTGAGCTACAGAGGACCACACGTGACAGAAGATCCCACCAAATGAGGACCAAAGAGCGTGTCCAGGAGCAGACAGCCTGGACCTGGGAGGAGATCCTGGACGGGAAGGGATCCTGGACTTGGGAGGAGATTCAGGCCGGAATGGATCGGCGTCCTTGGGAGGAGGCAGTGGAGGCGCGCTATAGAGAGGAGCAGCGGCAACGCAGAAGGTGCCGGCCGAGGAGGAAGCCCGAGAGACAGCCCCAAGAAAACTTTTGGGGGGGCTAAAAGGGTGGTTGGCGGAGCCTAGTGTTAGAGCAGAGCCAACTCCCCGTACTCATGCTAGGAAGCGTGTGACTGGGCAGGCTCCGTGTTATGCGGAGCTACGTACTGTGCCGCGAGGTGTCGTGCGAAGATGGGCATTCAGCCAGGACGGGGTGTGCGGCTCACGCTCGTGGTCTCCAGTACGCCTCCTCGGTCCGTAATCCTGCCCGGTGCTACGTACTGTATCGCCAGTACGCGTGCACAGCCCCGTACGTCCTGTGCTAATGCCTCACACATATTGTGTGGAAGTAGGCATCCAGCCAGGACGGGTTGTGTCAGCTCTCCGCTCCAGAACTCCAGTCCGCCTCCACAGTCCGGTACGGCCCGTTCCTGCTCCCCGCACTAAGCCAGTGGTGCGTGTTCCCAGTCCGGCCCGGCCCGTTCCTGTTCCCCACACCAAGCCAGTGGTGCGCGTCTCCAGCCCGGCCCGGCCCGTTCATGCTCCTCGCACCAAGCCAGTGGTGCGCGTCGCCAGCCCGGTCCGGCCTGTTCCTGTCCCTCGCACCAAGCCAGTGGTGCGCGTCGCCAGCCCGGTCCGGCCTGTTCCTGTCCCTCGCACCAAGCCAGTGGTGCGCGTCGCCAGCCCGGTCCGGCCTGTTCCTGTCCCTTGCACCAAGCCAGTGGTGCGCGTCAACAGCCCGGCCCGGCCTGTTCCTGCCCCTCGCACCAAGCCAGTGGTGCGCGTCGCCAGCCCGGCCCGGTCTGTTCCTGCTCCCCGCACCAGACCAGTGGTGCGCGTCGCCAGTCCGGTACGTCCCGTTCCTGTCCCTCGCATCAAGCCAGGGGTGCGTGTGTCCAGTACGGCACGGCCCGTGCCTGTCCCACCGGTGCCTGGTCCGGCACCAGTTAGCTGCTCCACTCCGGAGCCAGAGCAATCCGCTCCACCGGGGTCCAGTCCAGCTCCGGTCAGCGGATCCACTCCGGAGCCAGAGCAGTCCGCTCCACCGGTGCCCAGTTCAGCTCCGGTCAGCTGCTCCACTCCGGAGCCAGAGCAATCCGCTCCACCGGGGTCCAGTCCAGATCCGGTCAGCGGCTCCAGTTCGGAGCCTGAGCAGTTCGCTCCACCGTCGTCGGGTCCAGCTCCAGTCAGCGGTTCCAGTCCAGACCCAGACGTCAGCCCCTCTCCAGGTTCGGCGTCTCCCACACCAGGGCCCAGACAGGACTTGGTACGTCGTGGGAGGAAGGAGAGGGGAAGCAGCGCGCCGAGGTCCAGACCAGACCAGGGGCGCAACAGGGAGGTGGAGAGTAAGTGGTGGTCACGCCCGGAGCCGGATCCGCCTCCGAGGCGGAATGCCCACCCGGCCCATACCCTGTTATGTTTATGTGGCGCGGTCGGAGGGGGGGTACTGTCATGCCCTGACCCTAGGACTCGTATTTGTTGAGTCAGGGTGTGTATTTTCTGTGTCGTGTTGTGCTATGTTTATTGTCTATGGTTAGATCTAGTATGTATAGATATATGTTGGCCAGGGTGGTTCCCAATCAGAGGCAGCTGTAGCTCGTTGTCTCTGATTGGGGACCATACTTAGGTAGCCTGTTGGCACTAGTGGGTTGTGGGATCTTGTTTCGTGTAAGGTACGTTGTGTGTATGCTACCTTGGACTTCACGTTTCGTTTGTTGTTTTGTCGCGTGTTCATTCGTCTAAATAAACATGTATGCTTATCACGCTGCGCCTTGGTCCTTCTCGTTCGTAAACGATCGTGACATTCTGACCCACTGGGAATGTGATGAAAGAAATAAAAGCTGAAATAAATAATTCTCTCTACTATTATTCTGACATTTCACATTCTTAAAATAAAGTGGTGATCCTAACTGACCTAAAACAGGGAATTTTTACTAGGATTAAATGTCAGGAATTGTGAAAAACTGAGTTTAAATGTATTTGGCTAAGGTGTATGTAAACTTCCGACTTCAACTGTATATCAGTACATTGCAGAAGTTGTGTGCCATTTATATTTATTGTATATTTACACCATGTATGTATTTATATTCTCTGTGTTTTAAATCTATTGATAGATATAAGATGTTAAAGGATTTTTAAGGATTTTTAAGGAAAAGTTCAATACTTTTCTGTGTGTCGTTCCCATTGTGGTGACACAAGAATGCTCGCACACAGAAAAGCACTGCTTGAGTCCAACAAAATGGAATACAATGTTGCGGATAAAGTTCAAAATTATACAATCTCATGTGTACAACATCTAAAGACCTGCATCACTAAACTGAGAGCTTTGCCGTTTCTAAAAGTTTATTGCTGGTGGGGTACGTTTCTCAAAACCAAGTGAAATCACCAAAAAAGTGCCTGGACACGTCTATAACATTCCCTTTACATTAAAAATTGAGAACTTGTCCTTTAAGCTGTCTCAATCTTTCTCCGTCTTTGTCTTCAATACATTATCGAGGTCTCTCCCTCTTTCTTTCTCTCTGCTGTGTCCGTCTATCAATCCGTCTGTCTATTTCTTGTAGTGTTGAGTTTCCTCTCAGAGACATATTGTAAGACTCAGAAGTATTGTAAATGAAATAATATCTGCTGCTTTGTTGTGATATTCCATATTCTCATTTCTCCTCCTAGGCATGTTTATGTTTGTGTTATTGGAGGCATGTTTGTGTTACAGACACCCAGTGTGTACACACTCACAAAGTATCTGTCTGTGCCTACAACCTGTCTTCAGGGTTTCTGCTATGCATTTTAAAGAGCTCGACTTGGCCTGTCATCAAAGCCCCTAAACAACATAGATGCATTCGGATGCTGTGTACTGAACTACACACCGTATGTCTTCTTCACTGGCAAAGATGATAACTGCCCGGGAGTGCTGCGTTTCCAGCAGTTGTTGGATGGCTTTGTCATAATCCTCCAGTTTGGGGTTGTGGGGAATTTTCAAAGACTGTGCGATGCAGATCCCACCTTTAATTCGGAGAGAGAGAGAGAAAAAAAAGGAGAGATGATGAGCCCTCTGGGATGTTTACCCACAGAGACACACACAGAGGCAAACACCCAAACACATACACATGGAAATCAGATCCATACGGATATGGACCGCTTTCAAACAAAGTGGTTCTGAAAGACACAGATATTTATTGTTTATTCATCCTCGCTATAGGATCTCTGTCTTTCCAAGATACTTGAGTGAAACAATATACATGTACTATACACTCATTTACATTTGAGTCATAAATGCTTTGAGCTGAGTGGTTTACAGTAAGTGGTACATCACTTGGGATGAACAACAGCATAAAAATGAGCAACTGAAAGGAAAACCCTCACAAATTAATAGTGGGATCCATTTCTTAATAGAGGGCTGTGGGTGAATCATTACAGTACAACAGAAGACTTAGAAGCAGTATTGAGCTGCTTCCAAACCAATAGGAAACTGTGTCAACAGGGTAGAAGGAGCACGTAAATAGACCTTTCACACTTTGTGACCACAGATTAAAAGGTTGTCCCCTCCCCATTGACTTTTCATTTAATGTCATTATTAGACACACCACAATGGACAATCAACCAATCAGATCTGGAGACAGGCTACACAAACAAGGAGGATATTAATATTGACAATGAATAATGTTCAGACAGGTCAGTGCTAATGAGTTTGTACATGATGAAAGGTACTGATTGTTTCTGTGCGTCGCTAAATAGGTATTAGATATTTGGCGAGCCGACCGTGGCAGTCAACTCAGAGATACGGCCAAAACTTAGTTGGCAATTGTCCTTGAGGGAATATTGATTAGGGCAATCATTTAGCGTAATCCATGGTTGTCTGAATCTTAAATGCAGGGCCTGTAATATGACCTAATTTAGTCCTGTCAAGCGTTTAAGGTCATCTTTAAATATTGTCCCGTAGCTCTGTGTTGAGCTGAGGTAATCACTGGTGCTGGAGGAGAAAAACAAACAATACGTTTGACAGATTTTGATAGATTAATCATCCTCGGGTCACATTCAAGAGCTCATTATGTAAATATATAAAATCAAATAATATCTTCAACAAATACCTTCATTGCATTCCTTCCACTGGAGCAGATTTGAGAGCATGGGCTGACCTAACCTTTTCCAGCAGTTACTGTACTCATCTAGAGTAAATAGACATTATTGTGCACCTGAAGACACATCATAACTAGAACTAGATGATGAGCGGCAGGCAGGCTTGGTCCTGAGTCAACACCCAGGCTTCTCTATCCAAACCAATTAAAATCTCTCCCACTCAAGCACTCCTAATACCAGATAACCTTTCCAACATTGGGTTGGTTTCCTGAGTAGACAGAGAAATGGGAGGAATCTCCTAATTGGTCGTCTGCTCAGACTCATTACTTTGATATAAACAGCTTTTAGCTTGCAGAATTGAAACCACATCTCCAACCTCTGTTTACCGGGCCACATCTAAAAACAACTCCATCTAAAGGACTCCTTCCTAGCTCTCCCTCTGTCCTCCACCCCCCTCTTACTATCCCCACAGCAGCAGCCATAGACAGAATTTGAAAATATTGCTGATTGCCAGACAATATATCTCTACAAAGACAGTTAGGATGGCTCCTGTAATCCCCCATAAGTGGACAGCTTGGCTCTCCTGTTAAAATGAAAAGTGTAGTCTGGTATTGTGGTGCATCTGTGGAGCTGTAGCAGCGGAGACAGAGGCAGCAGTAGCAGCAGCCAGAGGATCTCATAGGGACACCACTACAGCTCCATTTTAGCACTGAGATTCTACATGATTCTTCAGGGCTCTAGGAGGGCTTATGGCACTGCTACAAACAATGTTTCCTTTTTGGGAAACTCTGAATACTGTTCTAGGGCTAATTCTTAGAGAGGTATTAGCACCACCTTTTAGCTCCGGGGCTGTCTATGTGGCTGTCTGTCTGTCGGTGGGTATCACATGTAATGAGGATTAATTCAACATCTAGATTTTAGGGGCAATAAGAATATGCTTGTCACTGTCACTGTGTGTATGGGAAGTAGAGGCCACACTTGAAGCTGGAAGATGACAAAGACATGGGTCAAGGCAGCCAGCCACTGATGAAGATAAGCAGCCTTTTGAGTGGTTTTCCTTTCTGAGCACCAGGCTTGAACATGCTGTGAGGACTAGAGTGCCCCGGAGGCTGCAGACTGTCTGTGTGCTGTAGACCAAGGCAAAATTATAGAATGACTGCAGAATTCCTCGTCAGTCGGCCAAGATGGGAAAACCAGGCAGACCCTTCAGAGCCAGGAGTCTACAGCCAGAACTCTGTGCTGTGGGTCTGAGTGTCTTCACCTGCCACTGGCAGAGTGTCTGATCTCTGGACATGAAAGAGAGAGCTCTCCATTCACACAGAAGCCACTGGAATAAAGAGTCTCTGTTGGAAAAAAATGTATAACTCAGAGATAAATGCAGGGGATATCATAGAGTGGAGTGTTTTACTACTCACACTGCTCTGTGTGGAGAATTCAAATCTTAGATATAGGAGATTCTAACATAGAACATCAAACTGTTTTAATGCAACAGTCTAAAAGCATTGGGTAAGCATTTGGTTTTTGTGAAATTAGAATCCTATGACATTTCAATGAGCACAATACTTCATTTATATAATGATGGACCTACCGGTCGGTATCTACATTAAACATCCTCCCCCCTCCAACTCGGTGCTCCACATTTCCCAGTTTGATTAATTTATCACAGATAAAATAATGATGATTTAATTAATCAGGCTTCTGCTAGTCCTGGGCTGAGTGCCACAGGTCATATGCTGCATTAACAGCTTCAAGTGTTCATCCCCATATCCCGGAGATTCCCTAAATGGGGGGGAGATTAGACCGTGGCGTTCCAGGAAACTCCCCCAAAATCCGGGTGGTTCCCAATGGACTCAACACCCCTACTACCCGTTTCACTCTGACCCCACCACCCCACCCGCAGCACCACCCCACCCCCGAAGGGGATCCATAATTCTCCAATTATATTTGTCACCTCCAGAGCAGAGACAGAACAACGACAGGCTCCCTCCGATGCCACTTTCCTCCCAATGCAGCTCCTCCCAATGCAGCTCAAGTGGGAGCCCACAGAAATGGAACACCATTCCTACTCTGTACGTGTGAGCCCCTTCCTTCATTCCTTCCTTATACCATATTCCATTCCAACTTGTCATGTTCACTCTAGAAGATAGAGAGGAGGGCTGCAGGAGTACATTGTTCCAGTTTAGAATGCTCATTTTCCGAGAACACACCAAGCTGTTGGTCAAATACTGAGGGCAAGCCAGTGAAGTCACTTCATATGTATGAAGTAAAACAAAAACATTATCTTTCATATTTCCGCTCCAGTCGCACTGCAGAAAATTTGACAGGTTTTTCGCAGTTCAAATTAGTGATATAAAAACACGGCTGTGGCAGCATACTGCAATTAATTTAAGAGTGATGTCTGTGGGAGTATCTACTCCTCAAACGCGCTTGCATGAGTCTGTTTATCAAAGAGGAAAAACAAACTCCATCGCTCTGGACCCAAGCCGAGGAAAATACTAACAAGATGAATCTTTCCTTGCTCCACTTCTAAAGAAAAGACAACTCATTCGCATAACCTAACGTAGCAGCCGTGAAAAGCCGCCTGATAGGAGTCCCCGCATCCATTTTTCAGGGGAAATGGAAGTTATGTTGAAAATACTGTATCCCTGAAAACCGGAAACATCCGCTTTATGTTTCTTCTTTTCGAGGAGAGTGCATTCGCATGAAACTGCGAGGGTGGAAGACTACCCAAACAATGGGGCAAGAGGAGAGTGGAAAACATCAGAGATCGATACGAGCTGACCATCACTCTAGTCTCTACTCAGGGTAATGGGCGGCCATATTGCATTAGTCCGGTGGATGCTGCTCCTTGAAGTGGTGAAGCGAGAACGCTACTAATGCATCTGACATTTCACTCCCACCAAAAGTATTGAGAGCCCACAAAACATCTCAAGGCCCTACAGATCAACTCAAACAACACACTGGGGTGTATTTAGGTCTGCAAGTTTCTCTCTCAATGTTATTGGAGTTATTTCTATTGCACCACTGCTGCTTTCAGTGCAGATGCAGTATGTTACTTGTTCATTTCAATCCAATGCAGCATGTGATGCTGAAACTGGCACATTCTTTGATGTTATAAATATACACAGTTATGTCATAACGTAATCAATGCTTTTATTAAAATCACAATGCCTATATTGTGCAGGGCTTCCATTGAGGGAAATGATTCCTATTTGATTTGTATGGGAATACAGAACATTCCCTGACTGTAGCTCTATTGTAATGTATGAGTCAACAACAACAGCAATATCCTATAATTTCTAACCCCCTCGTCTGTGATATTTTTACAGTCAAGGCAATAATATCAATGCAGCATTTTGCCGACTCTATGCTGAGACACAAACACCAGTGAAGGAAATACAACAGAAAGAAAACAATCTGGTAGCTGCAGACCCACCGTGTGCACTGGAGGATGTAACAAGCTGAAATAAAACCCCCGCCAAAATAACTAACTAAATCATCCAGACTCTTCTTCCCAATTCCCTCTCAGTGTTCTACAGAGGCTCCTCCTGCAGCTGTTCTCTCCAGCACCACAACAGCCTCTTCAAGTTTTAATGAGTGATCAGACTACACATGAACGCGCACAGATGAAATATTCATGTCCGCCGGACTTCTGATCGTCACCCATGGGATATCGTTAGCTCTCTCCCTTTCAGAGGTTGGCATACACTAGCATCACTCCTCAGTACCGAGGTTCGGAGATTGGTTGACAGGGGTCTAGCTAGTAGGTGCAGATTACAGGAAATGTATTGGGATCTGTAGAGGTCAAGATGAGAATCAGGAAGTAACCTTGGTTCCCTTAGTACAGCGATATTGCCAGGGGAGGAGTTGTATGAATGCTGAACCGTGGATCATGGAATGTAATTTCCTGGGCCAGATGATGGAATAGGTCATCCTTTCTTAAAGCAGTGCCTCTGTCACTTGGATGGAAATGGAATTGAGAGTTCTCCCACACAACATATATTGCCAGCATGCAAAGAACAAACTCTTATATTCTTCAAACATATTTTACCCAAGGACACTCACAGAACTAGAGTCACTATGTTAATTGTTGTCAAGCTCATTAATACTTCTTAATTTATTACAAAATATAATTGCCTGTATAGTCTCAGCATGGCATTTACAGTAAATTGTAGGTCCATAGTGAGCCCCAGATGGACAAAACACCCCCCCCCCCCCCCCCCCCCTCTCTCCTCCTCTCCAGCCTTTCAGTGTACTACCCATCTTAAATCTGGCAGTGTAATTACAACCTGCTGTAAGGTGGAGGGTTGATTCCCACCTGTGATCACCATCACTCATCTGTCTGTATGGGACTCTGGGTAAAAACGGCTTATAGAGGAACAACACAACTCTAACTGTAATTGACGGCCTCAGATAACTCCAAAACTAAATCGTACCATAGTATCTTATAATTTACAGTAACATATCCACTACTACTTCCATCACTCACCAGCCTCCTTGGAGATCTGTTGGAAGGCCTCCACGCCCTTCTCTCCGTAGCTGCCCTCAGAGGCCACGGTGGACACGTAGGTCCAGCCCAGGGCTCTGATGATGTCCACCATGGCCTGGACCTGGAATGAGTCCGGAGGAACCACCCGAGAGAAGAAGTCATAGCGCCTGTCATCACTCAGCTCCGGGGCCGTGGAGGCGTAGCTGATCTGAGGGATCTGATTGGAGGACAGAGAGGAAGTGATGTTCACTCCTCTATTTTTCAAGAGGGTGCAACAGCAGTATACAACATTCAACCCTATTCATTATATTTCTGTCTGCAACGTTCTGAATGTTTTACCTCACTAAATACGCCTCACTAAATACATGTATTATTGGTGGTGGATGACGTGATTTCCAACCAGACAGACAGTGAAAAGCACTTTGAGACCTGGTAAAAAGCTATAAAAACTATCATCATTATTACTATTAAACTATTTATCATAATTTGAGATGTTCCCGGTTCCCTGCAAATATCACAGAAACTTTGGCTCATCAAAGCTCCGGTTGACTTTACAGGTGACGTGTAGCTAAATGAAATAGCATGTGAAAAGAAAGGAGAAAACCCAGAATCTTGCCGTGTCCGTATACCCATACTTGCGTCCTAAGGAGGCCATTTAAGTATGCAAAAAAATTAAGTTTAATAGTATGCAACATTTTGAAAATCGAGTATACTTTAAATGCCAGGATGTCATACTATTTTCTGCTTTGACAACAGCTGATCAATTAGATACAGTGAGGGAAAAAAGTATTTGATCCCCTGCTGATTTTGTACGTTTGCCCACTGACAAAGACATGATCAGTCTATCATTTTAATGGTAGGTTTATTTGAACAGTGAGAGACAGAATAATAACAAAAAAATGTTGTCAAAAATGTTATAAATTGATTTGCATTTTAATGAGGGAAATAAGTATTTGACCCCTCTGCAAAACATGACTTAGTACTTGGTGGCAAAACCCTTGTTGGCAATCACAGAGGTCAGACGTTTCTTGTAGTTGGCCACCAGGTTTGCACACATCTCAGGAGGGATTTTGTCCCACTCCTCTTTGCAGATCTTCTCCAAGTCATTAAGGTTTTGAGCCTGACATTTGGCAGCTCGAACCTTCAGCTCCCTCCACAGATTTTCTATGGGATTAAGGTCTGGAGACTGGCTAGGCCACTCCAGGACCTTAATGTGCTTCTTCTTGAGCCACTCCTTTGTTGCCTTGGCCGTGTGTTTTGGGTCATTGTCATGCTGGAATACCCATCCACGACCCATTTTCAACGCCCTGGCTGAGGGAAGGAGGTTCTCACCCAAGATTTGACGGTACATGGCGCCATCCATCGTCCCTTTGATGCAGTGAAGTTGTCCTGTCCCCTTAGCAGAAAAACACCCCCAAAGCCTAATGTTTCCACCTCCATGTTTGACGGTGGGGATGGTGTTCTTGGGGTCATAGGCAGCATTCCTCCTCCTCCAAACACGGCGAGTTGAGTTGATGCCAAAGAGCTTGATTTTGGTCTCGATTTTGGTCTCATCTGACCACAACACTTTCACCGATTTCTCCTCTGAATCATTCAGATGTTCATTGGCAAACATCAGACGGGCCTGTATATGTGCTTTCTTGAGCAGGGGGACCTTGCGGGCGCTGCAGGATTTCAGTCCTTCACGGTGTAGTGTGTTACCAATTGTTTTCTTGGTGACTATGGTCCCAGCTGCCTTGAGATCATTGACAAGATCCTCCCGTTTAGTTCTGGGCTGATTCCTCACCGTTCTCATGATTATTTCAACTCCACGAGGTGAGATCTTGCTTGGAGCCCCAGGCCGAGGGAGATTGACAGTTCTTTTGTGTTTCTTCCATTTGCGAATAATCGCACCAACTGTTGTCACCTTCTCACCAAGCTGCTTGGCGATGGTCTTGTAGCCCATTCCAGCCTTGTGTAGGTCTACAATCTTGTCCCTGACATCCTTGGAGAGCTCTTTGGTCTTGGCCATGGTGGAGAGTTTGGAATCTGATTGTTTGATTGCTTCTGCGGACAGGTGTCTTTTATACAGGTAACAAATTGAGATTGGGAGCACTCCCTTTTCTGGGAGCCAGAAATCTTTCTGATTGAGAGGGGATCAAATACTTATTTCCCTCATTAAAATGCAAATCAATTTATAACATTTTTGACATGCGTTTTTACTGGATTTTGTTGTTGTTATTCTGTCTCTCACTGTTCAAATAAACCTACCACTAAAATTATAGACTGATCATTTCTTTGTCAGTGGGCAAATGTACAAAATCAGCAGGGGATCAAATACTTTTTTCCCTCACTGTATGGGGATGCACTACCGAAATCAACGAATAACGGAAAACTACGCAATCGCGCATGACGCATTCTCAGCATGTGAAAATCAAGTAAGTGAACTGTAAAAAATCAAGTATAGTTTAAATGCCAGGATGTTATACTCATTTAGGCTCTTCATCTAGTATAATTCGATGCACACATTTCCACAATGCATTGGAAGAGGTAGGCCCTAGCTCTCTTTAAGTAGCCAAACAATAAAACTAGGCTACTTAATTGGGATGATGCAGTGGTGTTCAAATGTATTCTAAATAGTTTTTATTCTCTTAAAAATTATCACGAGTATTGCATTTTAGGCTACTGTACATCTTTGAAAACAGAAGTATTTGTAAAAAAAAAAAAATCTAAGTGGATTTCTGTTTTCTCATTGAAAAGTGTTTTTTGTTCTCTTTTCAGAGATTTTAAATGAAATAATAAACACTTTTTTTTTTTCTGAATATGTCGGCACCAGGGATTCGGGATGTGGCGGCTTTGTTGATGTCATGTTATTCAGGCCTTTTGATTTGAACATATGGATTGTTTTAGTATTGTAGTACAGGCTACCTATTTAATTGTTTAATTTATGGATCAAACCTAAGCAGTCATTCTGCTGTTCGTTACCAATGATCAGTGGTTTAGTTTATTATGTTCAGTAGCTGTCCAGCGGTTCTGAATTTGCGATCCACATTTAAAAAGTTTTGGTGAGTGTACTAGGCTATTTAATTTAATTTATATACATTACAGCACTTTGGTTTCACTAATAAATATTTTGAAATAGAACCAAATTATCTGTTTCTGTCCTTCATCCTTTTTAATAGGATAGAATGGGCTTATGATGGGCTACGGTATAGGTTTAAATGTGTTAGTCTTCCTATAACCAGCTGAGTATGCCGAGAACTCCATTCCGAGTCTATGCAGATTTAAATAAATCATAGAAAATTGAAAAATAGCTAGTATCAGGCTGTATGGTGATGCATTTCTGCGTGATTTTGGAAAAAACCCACCCGCACTCGGCCCACCGCCCACCTACCAGCCGTCAGACCGCTACTGCGTTGCGGCCGTGCCTACTGCGACTTTTTTCGAACGGGAGTGCGTAAATAGTATGCGACGATGAGTACAGAGTATGCACTTTAAGTGTGTATATGCTATTCAGAGTTTAAATAAATTAATAGAATTGTAAAATAGCTATTATCAGGCTGGTTATTGTGATGCATGTCTGCTGATTTTGGAAAAACCCACCCGCACTCGGCCACGCCCCACCTACTCAGCCAGTCAGGAGCCGCTACTGCGTTGCGGCCGTGGCATACTGCATACTTTTTACTAAACGGTAGGTGCTAAATAGTATGCGACGATGAGTACAGAGTATGCACTTTAAGTGTGTATATGCTAGTATGGGTATTCGGAAACGGCCACTGGTATCTCCTTACCTCTCCTCACCCCTCCTCACCGGTCCCCGGTGGAATCACCGAGATCTAATGAGTGTTCAGGTTCAGAGCGGCTAACTTGCATCACTCAGGTGGGCTGAGCGCAACACATTGACATGGTTGGATGTGGTTGTGTTACCCCATCACACCATCTAACCTAAGCCACTGTATGAATACCATCCATTCTTATTAGGAGAATGAGGACACAGCAGCCCACTGATGGGATTCCGCAGCCCTGCCTCACATAGCACCGAGTGTGAGTTATAGCTTTGATCCACAACTCAAAGGGGGTCAACTGCATAAAGAAGACAAATAGAGGAGGGGAACGGGAGGTCATGTTCAAGATAACTTAATAAGTGTTGAACGGCCAAACGTACACGCGAGTACAAAATCAGTTTGAGTTGTAATGCAATTACACAAATTCAGGGGAAGGAATACTGTCAGATGTTAGTAGCTGAACCACTTCAGCACTCGCCAGAATTGAGTGTTCTGGGTCAAAAGGATGAGAAAGCAAAGCAATCGGAAAAGCGAACAATGGTGATTTGCATTTAAAACACACATGCGAGCACACACACACCATCTCTCCCTCTTTCACTCTATTCCTGTCTCTTTCTCTATCTGTGTGTCTCTCTCTCTCTCCAAAAGTATCTATTCTCAATATTTGATAGGAGCTGTATCTCATCAATGTTGTTGTTATAATGTGATGCACTCTGTCTCCCCAAAGGTCTTATATAGGTCTGATATATTGTTGAGTCACATCCCATCTTTTCAGGAACAGGGCTCGAAACAAACTAAAATTGTTTTCTCTCCTGAGCTTTTTGCTGCAGGGAACGATTTAAGAATCAGAAAGAGGGTTGTGTGTTATTTCGGGAGCACAACCCTGATTTCCTCCATGTCTCTTGGCCTGTTGATATATTTCTTCCACAAAACGTATTCTGGGTCTAGGAATATGTTAATCATTCCATCACAATGATTCACTTTTCCAGGGCATGCTTTTTTAATTAGCACTTTGACCTCCCGCTGAGTAAAAGGGCTAAACCTTTAATCAGTAAATGCATGGAAGTGAGACTAAGAGCTTCCCACATTACTACTTCTATGAGACGCAGTGGGTATGAACGGTATGTGATTAGGATTTCACACCTGTGCACCTCTCCGTCAGCTAATGGACTACAAATTAGGCGAGATGCCAGTTTGTTATAAACATTTGTTAAAGATAGTTTTTTAAATTCTTGTATATGCAACAGTTGGACATTGGATGGAGATACTCCAAATATTGACTGAATTATAGCAAAACAAAACAAAAATATTACCGCCATGAGCAAACAATGGAGTTCAGGGATTTTGGTGACAATCCAGGTATTCAATTTATTGTCAAATTTCACTTTTTTTCTTAGAATGCACTCATATATACATTTTCCAATGGTATCAGGTATTCTTTTAATGTTTTGTGTTTAAATAAAGAAAATGATATGTCCTTCATTTGCATCAATACACTGCGGTGATTTACATATAAAACATTAACATAAAGGGGTGGAACAGGGCTGCAACCACAAAAAACGTGCTCTGTCTAGGCCTACCTGTACTCACCTGCGCAGTCTAGACTGCTGCATTAATTACTGTTGTTGTCACGTTCTGTTGCATAATTCAACAAGTGTGTCAATAGCAGGATACCCTCAGATTAAAAATCAACATGCTTGGCTCTAGATTACACCTATCTATATATACTTAATATTGTTAGCGAGATCAGACATAATATCACTATAATCTGAGTGTTCATTTACAGAAGTTGCTTTCATTTTAGCGCATCTAATCTGTAAACATTTCAACTGCATTAAATTGTAACTTTATTCAATTTCATAAAAAATGAACAACCATCAAAATAAAGGTATCTTTCTTGTGATGCAAGTGTTGAGACGATGCTTTAAATCCCCGATTAAGCTTTAGCGTTCTTATAGATGCAACAGAAAGACAATGTATTCCAGTGAGCCCATTTCAGCCATTACCAGGGTGTGTTTGACAGGTCATTACAGACATTTCTGCGGTCGTAACGTTAACGGGAAAAAACGACAGGCACAAGCAAGAGTATAAAAGAGTCGCAAGAGTAAAATTAAAGCAATCCATCCAGCGAGATTTAAGTGACAAGTGGATTTTGCACCCCTCAAACACAGGGAATAGATGGCTGAAAAAGAGACAGATCCTCATGTGGGCAGGGCATGCGCGTTGCTAAATTTACATCTACTGTGTGAAATAGAGGGATTCAATTACAATCTTTTGGAGCATGATTACTTCCTCCTCCGTGTATCATAGGAACAAAAGGTAAACTTGTATTATGCTTGTCACTATTCTGCTTCATCAAGTCAAGCATATTCCAATTTTCTTTAACGATAGGCGTTGTAACACTCCCATTGATCAGACTGTTCTGAGCACTCTTTCCATTAGAGGTGTTTTAAATGGACTTTGCATTCTCAATATTGCATCCGTCTCCAATTTACCATTAATTACCTGCACAGCCAATAGAAAATACTCTAAAATCCACCTCCTGCCCTTGCTGAAGTCTGACTTTGATAGGATGACTCATAGGGTCTCTACAGTACAGTACACCCTGTTGCACATAATAATACATAATCACATTTCTCCATCTCTCAGTCCCACCAGAGATAAGGTAGTGTAGTGATTGCCGCCCATGCAGGCAGTTTAGACCAGGGGTAGGCAACTCTATTCCTGGAGTGACGCAGGTATTGCAGGATTTTGTCCCAACTCCACACAGGACTAACTGAGCTAATTGATCAGTTCAGTGATTGCCTAAATTCAACACACCTGGTCTTCCAGGTTGGTTAGAACAAAAACATGAAGTCCCTGCAACACTCTAGGTCCAGGGTTGCCTACCCCTGGTCTAGACCATAGACCATTGAACTCAGTCCCAGAAGCAAGGGGAAAAAAGGAAGATTAACAATGCCCCCTTTTCAGCATCACAATTACCCCGAGCTGAAGTCTGGTGCCTGTCATTTGCGCTAAGGATCAGAGTTAGGATTGCTATGGGTAATCGCGTGGCTTGCTCATAAATGTATCTGGGCTGACAGGATCGATGAGCGGAAAACATAGAAGTCTGTTATAGGGAACACTTTTATTGATTTACTACGGCATGATTTTCTCTGAATAAGAATCTAAAAAGATAAAAGGAAGGGAGAGTGGGAACTGAGAGGAGAGAGGGGGTAGCTGAGAGAGCTGAGAGAGTGAGCTGAAAGAGAGCGCGAGCTGAGAGGAGAGAGGGGGTAGCTGAGAGAGCTGAGAGAGTGAGCTGAAAGAGAGCGCGGGCTGAGAGGAGAGAGGGGGGTAGCTGAGAGAGCTGAGAGAGTGAGCTGAAAGAGAGCGGGAGCTGAGAGGAGAGAGGGGGGTAGCTGAGAGAGCTGAGAGAGTGAGCTGAAAGAGCGCGCGGGCTGAGAGGAGAGATGGGGAAGCTGAGAGAGCTGAGAGAGTAAGCTGAAAGAGAGCGTGAGCAGAGAGGAGAGAGGGGGGTAGCTGAGAGAGCTGAGAGAGTGAGCTGAAAGAGAGCGCGAGCAGAGAGGAGAGAGGGGGGTAGCTGAGAGAGCTGAGAGAGTGAGCTGAAAGAGAGTGCGAGCTGAGAGGAGAGAGGGGGTAGCTGAGAGAGCTGAGAGAGTGAGCTGAAAGAGAGCGCGAGCTGAGAGGAGAGAGGGGGGTAGCCTTGAGAGAGTTTTGAGTAAGAGTTAGTCTTAAAGAGAGAGCGGGTGAGAGGAGAGAGGGGTAACTGAGATCGAGAGCCAAAGAGAGCGCGGGCGAGAGGAGAGCGGGGGGTCGCTGAGAGACTGGAGAGTGAGCTGAAAGATAGCAGGAGCTTAGAGGAGAGAGGGGGGTAGCGTGAGAGAGCTGAGAGAGTGAGCTGAAAGAGAGTTCGTGCTGATAGGAGAAGGGGGTTAGCTGACGAACTCTCTATAGAGTGGATGCTGAAGAGATCCGCGGGCTGAGAGGAGAGAGGGTGTAAGCTGAGACAGCTGAAGTAGGAGCTGAAAGAGAGCGCAAGCTGAGAGGATAGAGGGGGTACTTATGAGCTTAGAGAGTGAGCTGAAAGAGAGCGCGAGCTTAAGGAGAGAGGGGGGTAGCTGAGAGAGCTGCTAGAATTGAGCTGGAAAGGAGCACGGCTGAGAGGAAGAGGGGGGGAGCCTGAGAGGATAGCTGAGAGAGTGAGCTGAAAGAGAGCGCGAGCTGAGAGGAGAGAGGGGGGTAGCTGAGAGAGCTGAGAGAGTAAGCTGAAAGAGAGCAGGATCTGAGAGGAGAGAGGGGGTAGCTGAGAGAGCTGAGAGAGTGAGCTGAAAGAGAGCGCGAGCTGAGAAGAGAGAGGGGGGTATCTGAGAGAGCTGAGAGAGGTAGCTTGAAAGAAGCGCGGGCTGAGAGGAGAGAGGGGGGTAGCTGAGAGAGTGAGCCAAAAGAGAGCGCGGGCTGAGAGGAGAGAGGGGGGTAGCTGAGAGAGCTGAGAGAGTGAGCTGAAAGAGAGAGCGGAATGAGAGGAGAGATGGGGAAGCTGAGAGAGCTGAGAGAGTAAGCTGAAAGAGAGCGCGAGCAGAAAGAGAGAGAGGGGTGTGGTAGCTGAGAGAGCTGAGAGAGTGAAGCTGAAAAAGAAGCGCTAGCCGAGAGGATAGAGGGGGGGTAGCTGAGAGAGCTGAAGATCGTTGAGTTGAAAGAGAGTGCGATGCTGAGAGGAGAGAGGGGGTATCTTAGAGAACTGTAGAGTGAGCTGACAGAGAGCGCGATCTGAGAGGAGATAGGTGGGGTGCTGAGAGAGTGAGCCTGAAGAGAGCGCGGGGCTGAGGAGAGAGGGGGGTAGCTGAGAGAGCTGAGATAAGTGTAGCGAAAGAGAGACGGGATGAGAGGAGAGGGGGGGTAACTTGAGATAGAGACCAAAGAGCGCGCGGGCTGAGAGAGAGAGGGGGGTAGTAGAGAGCGGAGAGAGTTAGCTGAAGAGCAGGAGCTGAGAGAGAGAGGGGGTAGCCTGAGAGAGCTGATAGAGTGATCTGAAAAGAGTGCGGGTGAGATGAGAGAGGGGGTAGCTGAGAAAGCTGAGAGAGTGAGCTGAAATGAGCGCGGGCTATAGGAGAGAATGGGTAGCTGATAGAGCTGAGAGATGAGCTGAAAGAGAGCGCGAGCTGAGAGGAGAGAGGGGGTATCTGAGAGAGCTGAGAAGAGTGAGCTGAAAGAGGCGCGAGCTGAGAGAGAGGGGGGGTAGCTGAGAAGCGAGAGAGTGAAGCTGAAATAGAGCACGGGCTTGAGAGGAGAGAGGGGGGTAGCTGAGAGAGCTGAGAGAGTTAGGCTGAAGAGAGCGCGATCTGAGAGGAGAGGGGTGGGTAGCTGAGAGAGCTGAGAGAGTAAGCTGAAAAGAGGAGCAGGATCTGAGAGGAGAGGAGTGGGTAGGCTGATAGAGCTGAGAGAGTGAGCTAAGAGGCGCGTACTGGAGGAGAGAGGGGGTGTTGCTGAGAGGCTGGAGACTGAGTTAGCTGAAGATAGCGCGGGCTGAGAGGAAGAGGGGGTGCTGACGAGAGTGAGCCCAAAAGAGAGCGGCGGGCTGAGAGGGGAGAGGGGGTATCTGAGAGAGCTGATAGAGTGACTGAAAGAGAGCGCGAGCTGAGAGAGAGGGGGGTAGCTGAGAGAGGCTGATAGATTTCGCAAAGAGAGCGCGGGCCTGAGAGGAAAGAGTGGGGGTAGTCTGAGAGAGTGAGCCAAAAGAGATGCGCAGGGCTGAGGAGGGGAGAGGGGGGTAGCTGAGAGAGCTGAGAGAGTGGAGCTGAAAGAGAGCGCGAGCTGAGAGGAGTGAGAGGTGGGGTAGCTGAGATAGAGCCGGATTCAGAGTGAGGCTGAAAGGAGAGGGCGAGCTGAGAGGAGAGTGGGGGGGGTAGCTGAAAAGAGCTGAGAAGATGAGGCTGAAAGAGACGTGAAGCTTGAGAGGAAAGAGAGGTGGAGTAGCGTGAGAGAGCTGAAGAGAGTGAGCTAAAAGAGAGCAGGAGCTGAGAGGAGAGAGGTGGTAGCTGATAGATCTGGAGAGATGAGCTGAAAAGAGAGCGGGAGCTGAGAAGAGAAGATAGGGTAGCTGAGAAGAGCTTAGATAGTGAGCTGAAAGAGAGCGTGAGCAGAGGGGAGAGGATGGGGGTAGCTGAGTGAGTGAGCCCAAAAGAGAGCGCGGGCTGAGAGCAAGAGATGGGGGGGGTAGCTGAGAGTGCTGAGAGAGTGAGCTGCAAAGAGAAGCGGGAGCTGACGAGAGAGGGGGGTAGCTTAGAGAGCTAAGAGTGAGCTGCAAGAAGCGCGGCAGAGAGGAGAGAGGGGGTATCTGATAGAGCTGATAGAGTGAGCTGAAATAAGAAGCGAGCTGAGAGAGAGAGGGGGTAGCTGAGAGATGGAGAGAGTGAGCTGAAAGAGAGTGCGAGCTTAGAGGAGAGAAGGGGAGTAGCTAGAGAGCTGATAAGTGAGCTGAAAGAGAGTGGAGCTGAGAGGAAGAGAGGGGGGTAGCTAGAGAGTAGCAGAAAGAGAATAGATCTTTAGGGGAGATGGGGGTAGCTGAGATATTGAGCCAACAAGAGCGCGTTCTGAGAAGAGAGAGGGGTGGGTAGCTGAGAGGCGTAGAGGATTGAGCTGAAGGATCGTGAGCTGAGGGGAGAGATGGGGTAGCTGAAGAGCTGAGAGAGTGCGCTGAAGAGAGTGTGAGCTGAAGGGAAGAGGGGGGTAGCTGAGAGACTGAGATAGTGAGCTGACAGAGATTGCTAGCTGAGAGAGAGAGGGGGGTAAGCTTGAGAGGCGAAGAGCGTGAGCTGAAAGAGAGCGGGATCCTGAGAGGAGAGGATGGGGTAGCTGAGGAGAGCTGAGAGAGTAGCTGAAAGACGCAAGGAAGCTGAGAGAGAGAGGGGGGTAGCTACGGAACTCTAGCAAGAAGTGAGCTGAAAGACAGCGCTAGCTGAGAGGTGAGAGGGGGTAGCTGAGAGAGCTGGTAGAGGTGAGCTTGAAAGAGAGCGCGATGCTGAGAGGAGAGTGGGGGGAGTAGCCTGAAAGCGCTGAGAGAGTGAGCTGACCTAGAGCGTGAGCTGAGAGGAGAGAGGGGAGTAGCTGAGAGAGCTATAGAGTGAGTTAAAGAGAGCGGACTTAGAGGAAGAGAGGGGGGTAGCTTGAGAGAGCCTGATAGAGTTGAGCTTGAAAGAGAGCGGGAGCTGAGAGAGAGAATATGGTAGCTAGAGAGCTGCGAGAGTGCTGAATGAGCGTGATCTGAGGGGAGAGATGGGGGTTAGCCTGAGAGGAGTGATCCAAAAGAGAATCGGCCGGGCTGAGAGGAGAGAGGGGTGAGCTGAAGTGCTAGAGAGTGAGCTAAAAGAGAAGCGCGGGCTGATAGGACTAGAGGGGTAGCTCGAGACTGAGAAGTGAGCGAAAAGAGCGCGGCTTAGAGAGGAAGAGGGGTGCTGAGAGAGCTGAGAGAGTGATCTTAAAGAGATTGATCTGAGAGGAGAGAGGGGGGTAGCTGTAGAGCTGAGAGTAGGTGACCTGAAAGAGAGCGTGAGCTGAGGGAGAGAATGGGTAGCTGAGATGCTGAAGAATGAGTCTGAAAGAGAGCGGAGCTGAAGGATGAGGAGGGGGGGGTAGCTTGAGAGAAGCTAGAGAGTGATCTAAAAGAGAGCAGGAGCTGAGATGAGAGGGGGGGGTACTGCTATCGCTGCGAGAGTGGAGCTGAAAGAGAGTGCGAGCTGAGATGAAGAGGGGGTGCTGAGAGTGCTGACGAGTGAGCTGAAAGAGAGCGTGAGCTGAAAGGAGAGAGGGGGTAGCTGAGAGTGCTTGAGAGAGTGAGCTTGAAAGAGAGCGCGGTCAGAGAGGAGAGAGGGGGTAGCTGAGAGAGCTGAGAGAGTGGAGCTGAAAGAGAGCCGGGAGCGAAGGAGAGAGGGGTATCTGAGAGAGTCTGAGATATGAGCTGAAGAGAGTGGCGAGCTGAGTGGATAGGGGATTAGCTTATATGCTGATGAGAGTGAGCTGAGATAGTGGGAGCTGAGAGGAACTAGAATGGGGTAGCTGAGAGAGTAGCTGAAAGAGATATGATCTAGGGGAGAGATGGGGGTAGCTGAGATATTTATCAAAAGATATGCGCGGGCTGAAGGATAAGAGGGGGTGTAGCTGTAGAGCTAGAGAGTGAGCTGAAAAGAGAGCGTGAGCTGAGGGAGAGAATGGGGTAAGCTTATAGAGCTGAGAGTATTGAGCTGAAAGATAGTGCGAGCTGAGAAGATAGAGGGGGGTAGCTGAGAGAGTGAGAGAAGTGCGCTGAAAGAGAGCAGGCTGAGAGGAGAGAGGGGTAGCTGAGAGAGTCGAGAGAGTGAGCTGAAAGAGATGCGAGCTGAGGGAGAGAGGGGGGTAGCTGAGAGAGATGAGAGAGTGACCTGAAGAGAGCGTGAGCTGAGGGAGAGATGGGGTAAGCTGAGATAGCTGAGCTAGTGGAGCTGAAAGAGAGTGTTAGTCTGAATGGGAGAGGGGGGTAGCTTAGAGAGCTTAGAGAGTGAGCGGAAAGAGAGCGGGAGCTGAAAGATATAGGGGGGGTATCTGAGAGAGCTGAGAGAGTGAGCTGAAAGAGAACATGATCTGAGAGGAGAGATGGGGTACTGGAGAGCTGAGAGAGTGAGCCTGAAAGATAGTGCGAGCTAGAGGAGAAGAGGGGGGTAGCTGAGTTAGCTAGAGAGTACCTAAGAGAGCGTGAGCTGAGGGGAGAGATGGGGTAGCTGAGAGAGCTGAGAGAGTGAGCTGAAAGAGAGTGTGAAGCTAGGGAGAGCGAGGGGGTGCTGAGAGAGCTGATAGAGTTCTGAAAGAGTGTGCGAGCTGAGAGGATAGAGGGGAGTAGCTGAAGAGCTAGAGGAGGAGCTGAAGAGATTGTGAGCTGAGCGGAGAGAGGGGGGTAGCTGAGAGAGCTAGAGAGTGAGCTGAAGACAGCAGGAAGCTGAGAGGAAGAGGGGGTCGCTGATATAGCTGAGAGAGGAGCTTAAAGAGAGCGCGAGCTGAGAGGAGAGAGGGGTGTAGCTGAGAGAGCTGAAGAGAGCTGAAAGAGAGCCCGGCTGAGAGGAGAGATGGGGGTAGCTGAGAGAGTGAGCCAAAAGAGAAGCGCGGGCTGAGAGGAGAGACGGGGAGAGTGGAGAGCTGAGAGAGTGGAGCTGAAAGAGAGTGGGGCTGAGTAGAGGAGAGAGGGTAGCTGAGAGAGCTGGAGGAGTGAGGAGTGAGCCTGAAAGAGAGCGCGGGCTGAGAGGAGATAGGGGGTCAGCTGTAGAGCTTGAGAAGTGAGCTGAAAGAGAGCGCTGGCTGAAGGAGTAGGGGGTTACTGAGAGAGCTGAGAGAGTGAGCTGAAAAGAGCGCGAGCTGAGAGGAAGAGAAAGGGGGTAGCTGAGAGAGCTGAGAGAGTGAGCTGAAAGCGGCAGAGCTGAGAGGAGAGAGGGAGTAGCTGAGAGAGCTGAGAGAGTGAGCTTAAAAGAGAGTGGCGAGCTGAGAGGAGAGAGTGGGTTAGCTGAGAGAGCCTGAGAGAGTAGCCGAAGATAGCGGGAGCTGAGAGGAGAGAGGGGGGTAGCTGAGAGAGTGAGCTGAAAGAGAATATGATCTGAGGGGAGAGAGGGGGGTATCTTGCGAGAGCATTAGCGATAGCTGGAAAGAGCAGCGTGAGCTGAGGGGAGAAGATGGGGTAGCTGATAAGCTGAGAGAGTGAGCCTGAGAGAGTGTGACTGAGGGGAGAGATGGGGGTAAGCCTTAGAAGCTGATAGATTGAGCTGAAAAGAAAAGTGCAGCCTTAGAGGGAGAGAGGTGAGTAGCTGAGAGAGCTATAGAGTGAGCTTGAAAGACAGCGGGAGCTGAGAGGAGAGAGGGGGGTAGCTGAGAGAGCTGAGAGAGTGAGCTGAAAGACAGCAGGAGCTGAGAGGATAAAGGGGTAGCTGAGAGAGATAAGATGGAGCTGAAAGAGAGCGCGATCTGAGAGGAGAGAGGGGTGTTAGCTGAGAGAGCTGAGAGAGAGAGCTGAAAGATAGTCCCGGGCTGAGAGTAGGAGGCGAGGGGGGTAGCTGATAGAGTGAGCCAGCAAGAGAGCGCGGCTAGACGGAGAGATGGGGCATCTGAGAGACGCTTAGAGATGAGCTGAAAGAGAGTGTGAGCTGAAGGAGAGAGGGGGTAGCTGAGAGAGCTGAAGAGCTGAGAGAGTGAGTCTGAATAGAGTGCCGGGCCTGAGATGGAAGAGGGGGTAAGCTGAGAGGCTGAGAGAGTGAGCTGAAAGAGAGCGCGGCTGAAGGAGAGAGGGGGTAGCTGATAGAGCTAAGAGTGAGCTGAAAAAGAGCGGCAGAGCTTGAGAGGAAATGGGGGGTAGCTGAGAAGGCTGAAGGTGAGCGGAAGAGACAGAGCGAGAGTAGAGAAGGTGTAGCTGAGAGAGCTGAGAGAGTTAGCTGAAAGAGAGCGTGAGCTGAGAGGAGAGAGGGGGTAGCTGAGATAGCTGAGAGAGTGAGCTGAAAGAGAGCGCGAGCTGAGAGGAGAGAGGGGGGTAGCTGAGAGAGCTGAGAGAGAGAGCTGAAAGATAGCCCGGCTGAGAGGAGAGGGGGGTAGCTGGAGAGTGAGCCAAAATAGAGCGCTGGCTGAGAGGAGATAGGGGGGTAGCTGAGAGAGCTGAGAGAGTGAGCTGACAGAGATGTGAGCTGAGAAGGAGAAGGGGTCGCTGAGAGAGCTGATAAGCTGAGAGAGTGAGCTGAAAGAGAGTGCGGGCTGAGAGAAGAGGGGGTAGCTGAGAGAGCTGAGAGAGGTGAGCTGACAACAGCAATGGATGCTGAGAGGAGAAAGGGGGTAAGCTGAGAGAGATGAGAGAGGTAGCTGAAGAGAGCGTCGGCGGAGATGAGAGAGGGGTGTAGCTGAGGAGAGAGCTGAGAGAGAGAGCTGAAAGAGAGCCCGGGCTGCGAGTAAGAGGTGGGTAGCTGAGAGATGAGCCAAAAGATGCGCGGGCTGCGAGGAGAGAAGGGGGTGTTCTACTGAAGATCTGAGAGAGTGAGCTGGAAAGATAGTGTGAGTGAGCGGAGAGAGGGGGGTAGCTGAGAGAGCTGAGAGAGTGATCTGAAAGAGTAGTGCCGGGCTGAGATGAAGAGGGGGTAGCTGAGAGAAGCCTGAGAGAGTGAGCTGAAAGAGAAAGCGCGTGCTGAGAGGAGAGAGTGGTAGCTGAGAGAGCTGAGAGAGTGGAGCTGAAAAGAGCGCGAGCTGAAGAGGAGACAGGGGGGTAGCTTGAGAGAGCTTGAGAGATGACTGAAGAGAGCAATGAGCTGATAGGAGAGAGGGGGTAGCTGAGAGATCTGAGAGAGTTATCTGAAAGAGAGCGTGAGCTGAGATGAGAGGGGGGTACTGGATAGCTGAGAGGTGAGCTGAAAGAAGCGCGAGCTGAGAGGAGAGGAGGGGGGTAGCGAAGAGCCTGGAAGAGAGAGAGCTTACGAGAGCCGGCTGAGAGGAGAGAGGGGGGTATCTTGAGAGATGAGCCAAAAGGAGCGTCGGGCCTGAGATAGAGAGGGGGATAGCTGAAGAGCTGAGAGGTGAGCTGAAGAGGTGTGATCTGCGAGGATAAAGGGGTAGCTGACTGATCGGAGAAGCTGAGAGAGTGATCTGAAAGAGAGGTGCGGGCTGAGAGTAAGGGTGGTAGCTGAGAGAGCTTCAGAGTGAGCTGAAAGAGAGCGCGGCTTTCGAGGAGAGAGGGGTAGCTGAGAGAGCTGAGAGAGTGAGCGAAAAAGAGCATGAGCTGAGAGGAAGAGGGGGTAGCTTGAGAGAGCTGAGAGAAGTTAGCTGAAAGAGAGCGTGAGCTGAGAGGAGAGAGGGGGTAGCTGAGATATCTGATAGAGTGACTGAAAGAGAGGCGCGTAGCTGAAGGAGAGGGGGGTACTGAGAGAGCTGAGAGAGTGACTGAAAAAGATAGCGAGCTGAGAGGAGAGGGGGAGTAGCTGAGAATTAGAAGTGAGCTGGAAGAGAAGCGGAGCTCTGAGCATGAGAGAGGGGGGTAGCTGAGAGAGCTGAGAGAGTGAAGCTGAAATAGAGCTGGAGCGAAGGAGGATAGGGGTGCTGAGAGAGCTGAGAGAGTGGCTGACGAGAGCGTGAGCTGAGGTGAGAGATAGGGGTAGCTGAGTAGAGTGAGCCAACAGATAGCGCGGGCTGAGAGGAGAGAGGGGGGTAGCTGAGAGAAAACTGAGAGAGTGAGCTGAAATGAGAGCGTGGCTGAGGGGCGAGATGGGTTAGCTTAGAGAGCTGAGAGATTGAGCTTTGACAAGAGAGCGGGAGCTGAGAGTATAGAGGGGGTAGCTGAGAGAGCTGAGAGAGTGAGCTTAAGAGAGCGCGAGCTGAGAGGATAGAGGGGGGTAGCTGAGAGAGCTGAGAGAGTGAGCTGAAGAAAGAATCCGCAGCTAGAGGGAGAGGGGTAGCTGAGAGAGCTGAGAGAGGAGCTGAAAGAGAAGCGCGAGCTGAGAAGGGGAGCGGGGGTAGCTGAATAGCTGAGAAAGTGAGCTGAAAGAAGCTGAGCTGAGGGGAGAGATGGGGGTAGCTGCGTGAGAGAGTGAGCCAAAAGAGAGCGCGGGCTGAGAGGGATGAGGGAGGTAGCTGAGAGAGTGAGAGAGTGAGCTTGAAAGAGTTGCCCGCAGCTGAGAGGAGAGAAGGGGGTAGCTGAGAGAGCTGAGGAGAGTGAGCTGAAAGAGAGCGCGAGCTGAGAGGGGAGAGGGGGTGGTAGCTGAGATAGCTGAGAAAGTGAGCTGAAAGAGAGCTTGAGCTGAGGGGAGAGGATGGGGTAGCTGAGAGAGTGAGCCAAAAGAGAGTGTGGGCTGAGAGGAGAGAGGGGGGTAGCTGAGAGAACTGAGAGAGTGAGCTGAAAGAGAGCGTGAGCTGAGGGGAGAGATGGGGTAGCTGAGAGAGCTGAGAGAGTGAGCTGAAAGAGGCGCTAGCTGAGAGGAGAGAGGGGATTAGCTGAGGAGAGCTGACCGAGTGAGCTGAAAGAGAGCGGGAGCTGAGAGGAGAGATGGGGTAAGCTGAAGAGCTGAAGAGAGGTGAGCTGAAAGAGAGCGGGAGCTGATAGGAAGATAGTGGGTAGCTGAGAGAGCTGAGAGAGTGAACTGAAAGAGAGCGTGAGCTGAGGGGAGAGATGGTTAGCTGCAGAGTTAGCCAAAAGAGCGCGGGCTGAGAGGAGAGAGGGGGGGGGGTAGCTTAGAGAGCTGAGGTAGTAGCTGATATGAGATCGGGAGCTGTTAGGAGAGAGGGGGGGTAGCTCAGAGAGCTGAGAGAGTGAGCTGAAAGAGAGCGGGAGCTGAGAGGAGAGAGGGGGGTAGCTGAGAGAGCTGAGAGAGTGAGCTGAAAGAGAGCGGGAGCTGAGAGGAGAGAGGTAGGGGTAGCTGAGAGAGCTGAGAGAGTGAGCTGAAAGAGAGCGTGAGCTGAGGGGAGAGATGGGGGTAGCTGAGAGAGTGAGCCAAAAGAGAGCGCGGGCTGAGAGGAGAGAAGGGGGGTAGCTGAGAGAGCTGAGAGAGTGAGCTGAAAGAGAGCGGGAGCTGAGAGGAGAGAGCTGAAAGAGAGCGGGAGCTGAGAGGAGAGATAGGGGTAGCTGAGAGAGCTGAGAGAGCTGAGAGAGTGAGCTGAAAGAGAGCGGGAGCTGAGGGGAGAGAGGGGGGTAGCTGAGAGAGCTGAGAGAGTGAACTGAAAAGAGAGCGTGAGTGAGGGGAGAGAGATGGGGGGTAGCTGAGAGAGTGAGCCAAAAGAGAGCGCGGGCTGAGAGGAGAGAGGGGGGGTAGCTGAGAGAGCTGAGAGAGTGAGCTGAAAGAGAGCGCGAGCTGAGAGGAGAGAGGGGGTAGCTGAGAGCTGAGAGAGTGAGCTGAAAGAGAGCGCGAGCTGAGAGGAGAGAGGGGGTAGCTGAGAGAGCTGAGAGAGTGAGCTGAAAGAGAGCGCGAGCTGAGAGGAGAGAGGGGGGTAGCTGAGAGCTGAGAGAGTGAGCTGAAGAGAGCGGGAGCGAGAGGAGTGAGGAGAGAGGGGGGTAGCTGAGAGAGCTGAGAGAGTGAGCTGAAAGAGAGCGGGAGCTGAGAGGAGAGATAGGGGTAGCTGAGAGAGCTGAGAGAGCTGAGAGAGTGAGCTGAAAGAGAGCGGGAGCTGAGGGGAGAGAGGGGGGTAGCTGAGAGAGCTGAGAGAGTGAGCTGAAGTAGAGCGCGAGCTGAGTGAGATAAAGTGGGAGAGAGCTGAGAGTGAAAACAAAGCAATGAGAGAAAGACAAAAAGAGAGAGGGGGAGCTTAGAAAGCTGCGACAGGTAGAGAGAGAGAGAGAGAGAGAGCTGTGACATGTACAAAGAGGGAAATAAAAGGAAGAGGGGGAGAGAGAGAGGTCCAATCGGCTTACTGCATTAATTAGATTTTTCGTCTCGTACGTGTTCATGAGGAAAGGTGACTAAGTGGGGTTACTGTGTAAAGGTCAGACACATTTTCTTCAGAAGGAATGTGGTATGAAGTAAATTAATGTGGCTTGCCCTTTCCACTGTTATTTCACATACTGCCGGCATACTGCCCGGCAACAAGAGAAAGCAGAAAAAAAATAGACAAAGGAAAAAGAAGACACCAACGCAAAAAAAAACAAATCAAAACGCAGCAAGCGAAAATGACCAGTCCAAACAACGAACACTAAACACAAAAGGGGAAAACACCCAATCCCACGTCACAACTCACCGACCCACCACCCCCGGGAGAAAGGCCCGGTTACCAAAGAGCGCGTCAGGGACCCACTCAGGTACCGAACAGGTGAGCCGTGGTCCCATGTGACATACCCCCCATCAATAGCCTACTTACACATGTCGCTACCCCCCGCAGGAACACAAGACCAATACTGCCTCTCCCCCAGCACAACCAATAGCAACCCAAGTCCCCGGGAGCCCGGGACCTAACAGCAAACTCCCAATCCCGGCCAAGGTCCCGCCCGCATGTGCCCAGTCCCTTTGGATCGCCCCCGACCTCGCCCGAAACTAATACGTCGACAACCCCCAGCGCTCCCAAGCGGCCCCTGGGCCCGCAGCCCAAGCCTCGTGGTCCCCACCGCGACAATCCATCGCGGACCTATAGCGCTCCTGGGTCGCCGGGACAACCCCACAGAAAACGACCCCGAGATACGGCAAGGCTGCCCGCACCTAGGCACTAGTACCGGCCCGCGGACCCAATAGGCACGAGACTACCGTGCGCGTCACCCCCCTTTTCCCCCCCCCCTCCCGAGTCGTACCCAATTTAACCGAAAAATACAGATTATCATCCGTTACTGCCGGCAACAAAGCAACGAGGTGGACATTTCTAAAGACATGTTAGCGGTTACGTTGCGAAAACATTTGTATTGAGTGAATATAGAGTCACATCCAGAATTATTGGCCGCCTTGATAAAGATACATGTACATCAAGCTGCTACAGAAACAGGAGATAGGCTCATGCTCCTATGAGCCGTTCTGGTTCGCATATGCCAAGGCTACTTTACTAGATAAAGATGATCAAAAGAAGACTGTATCAAATAAATCATACAAATACTGAGCTATATTGTGTGCTCCAAAAAATTTGTAAATTATATTATTTTACACTAATACAATTTGCTCAGAAAAAATAGATTTTGTTTAATAAGTAAAATCTCAAAAAAATAGGTGTTAAAATGATTGGCATTGCTGTTTTCAATACTCTGCCCCCCTCCCCCATTTCGCCAAAATGTCCTGGTACTTGGTGTGTTGTTATGTGTTAATAACATGAAGACTACGTTACCCAGCAGGCTATGCGAGGGGGGGAAGTGGAAGTATACCTTGCATAGCTACACAAGGAGATTGCTAGCTAAAGTATGGTTTATTAAAAGTAGTTCAACCTATGCTCCGGTTTGTCATTATTCAAAGGAACAAACATAACATGGTGTCAGATTGGTAGTCGCTATGACGAGACAGAGAAAAGAAAGCAGTAACTCTGCAAATTTCCACGACAAAAATTTAAACATTCTACCACAAGTCAAGTGACGTGAGTAGTCGAAGATGCTAGCTTGCAAGAGCGATGCCAACGAGCCGCAGCAGCGAGAGTGACAGCAGCGAGAGCGAGGCTGCACTGGAATCTGTTGACGAGCAAGTTGATGAGCAACGTACCGAAGTAAGAGAAATTGAAACTGTACCTGTTTCCCGAGTGTTTCCCATCATGGATAGGCTTAGTCCTCCTACTCCTATGTAGTTAACAGGCAATCTAGCTGACAATTGGAAACGTTTCAAGCAGAGACAATATCTACCTAGCAGCCAGTTGAGCAGGGGGAGATGATGACAAATTGAAAGCTTCCATTTTTCTGCATGTTATTGGAGAGGATGCATTGGACATTTACAATAGCTTTCAGCTAGACGAGGCAAACTTGACATTGACTGTGCTCATGGCTAAATGTGAGGAGTACTTTGTACCAAGCCAGAACATCACGTTTGAGAGATACACGTTTTTCTCTCATGATCAGAAACAGGGAGTCAGTTTTGACCAGTACTTGGCTGAGCTGAACACACTGAGCAAAACGTGTGAATTTGAAAATCTGAAAGACTCACTAGTGGAAGACAGGATAGTCTGTGGCATACTTGATAATGGACTCAAGGAGAGATTGCTGTGTGAGCAAGATTTAACTTTGGATAAAGCAGTGAATATGTGTCGAGCAGCTGAAATCACCAGAGCAAGAGCTAAAGAGCTGGGCTGGGATGAGACGTCAGTGCAATAAAAAGAGAGGAGGAACACACAACGCTTTACAAAAGAAAAACAAGCAAAAGAGAAAAATCAAAACACTACATGTGGAAAATGTGGAGTTATCCACAAGCCAGAATATTGCCCTGCATATGGCAAATAATAATTTCTCAAAATGCTGCAAAGCTGAGGCTACAAAGAAAAAGGTTCACACAGAAAGGGGAGACTGAAGATTTTTTTGATGATTCTGTGGAAATATGCAATGCAGTAAAAGCTGAATGGATTGTGCCATTGACTGTGAATGAAACTATAATACCATTCAAGCTCGATACTGGAGCTCAGGTAAACCTGTTGTCGCTAGATGACTACAAAACACTGAAAGTGAAGAGCAAAATAGACCCTGTGAAAATCAAGGTTACTGGTTAAACTGGGGAGAACGTACCAGTTAAAGGAAGCTGCATAGTAACTTTACAGCACAAAGGAAAACAGTTCAAAGCACAGCTGCTGATCGTGGAAAAGAGTGTACAGCCTATTCTAGGAATCAGTGCATGTGAAAAGCTCAATTTGGTGAAAAGAGTGTATGTAGTGACATCACCAGACTGAAAATGACCAAGAATCGCTACTGGCTGAGTACGAGGACGTGTTTGAGGGTCTAGGATGTTTACCTGGAGAACACAAAATATGTACTGATTACAAAATTACTCCAGTTGTGCATGCGTGCAGAAAAGTTCCATTTGCACTGAGGAAAAAGCTCAAGGAGGAACTCGGACGCATGGAAAAGATGGACGTCATCACAAAAATGGATGAACCCTACAGATTGGGTAAGCTCACTGGTTATTGTGGTGAAAAAGAACAGCGATCTCAGGATATGTCTAGACCCGAGAGATCTCAACAAAGCTATCAAGCGAGAGCATTTAAAGTTGCCAACCAGAGAAGAGATAATGTCGCAGTTTGCTGGAGCAAAGTGGTTCAGTAAGCTTGATGCCTCATCAGGACTTTGGCAAATGAAGCTAGATGATGCAAGCTCAAGGCTATGCACATTCAACACACCTGAGGGCTGGTACAGATTTCTTCGTCTACCATATGGGATTCTCTCAGTGCCAGTGGTCTACCAGAAGACAATTCACATGATCTTCGAGCACATTCCAGGAGTAGAGACCATGATGCACAACATTATCATCTGGGGGTCCACAAAAGAAGAACACGACGTGCGATTGAGACAAGTGCTGGACCTGACACGGAAAGTCAACCTGAAGCTAAACAAGGACAAATGCGAGTTTGGTGTGAAAACACTTACCTTCATGGGAGACGTACTTTCAGAGGATGGAGTCAAACCAGACCTTAGGAAAACATCAGCCATCAACAACATGGAGCGCGATGTGAGACGCTTCATGGGCATGATCACCTACCTCAACTGTCAGCACAGTCTGCTCCACTGAGTTGTCTTCTGGAACAGAAAAACAAATGGGAATGGTCCCATGAGCAGGAAAACTGCTTCAAAAACCTAAAGAAGGCAATCACAGAAGAGCCAGTGCTCAGGTTCTATGATCCAGAGAAAAGCACAACGATTTCTGCAGATGCATCACAGTTTGGCCTGGGAGCAGTTCTTCTGCAACAGCATGACGACACATGGCAACCTGTCGCTTATGTGTCCAGAGCCTTGACAGGCGCAGAAACAAGGTATGCACAAATAGACAAAGAACTACTGGCGAGCACATACAGTTGAAGTCAGAAATTTACATACACTTAGGTTGGAGTCATTAAAACTCGTTTTTAAACCACTCCACAAATATCTTGTTAACAAACTATAGTTTTGGCAAGTCGGTTAGGAAATCTACTTTGTGCATGACACAAGTAATTTTTCCAACAATTGTTTACAGACAGATTATTTCACTTATAATTCAATGTATCACAATTCCAGTGGGTCAGAAGTTTACATACACTAAGTTGACTGTGCCTTTAAACAGCTTGGAAAATTCTTAGAAAATGATGTCATGGCTTTAGAAGCTTCTGATAGGCTAATTGACATCATTTGAGTCAATTGGAGGTGTACCTGTGGATGTATTTCAAGGCCTACCTTCAAACTCAGTGCCTCTTTTCTTGACATCATGGGAAAATCTAAAGAAATCAGCCAAGACCTCAGAAACAAATTGTAGACCTCCACAAGTCTGGTTCATCCTTGGGAGCAATTTCCAAACGCCTGAAGGTACCACGTTCATCTGTACAAACAATAGTACGCAAGTATAAACACCATGGGACCACGCAGCCATCATACCGCTCAGGATGGAGACGCGTTCTGTCTCCTAGATATGAACGTATTTTGGTGCGAAAAGTGCAAATCAATCCCAGAACAACAGCAAAGGACCTTGTGAAGATGCTGGAGGAAACAGGTACAAAAGTATCTATATCCACAGTAAAACAAATCCTATATCGACATAACCTGAAAGGCCGCTTAGCAAGGAAGAAGCCACTGCTCCAAAACCGCCATAAAAAAGCCAGACTACGGTTTGCAACTGCACATGGGGACAAAGATACTACTTTTTTCCCCCTCTGGTCTGATTAAACAAAAATAGAACTGTTTGGCCATAATGACCATCGTTATGTTTGGAGGAAAAAGGGGGTAGGCTTGCAAGCCGAAGAACACCATCCCAACCGTGAAGCACGGGGGTGGCAGCATCATACTGTGAGGGTGCTTTGCTGCAGGAGGGACTGGTGCACTTCACAAAATAGATGGCATCATGAGGAAGGAAAACTATGTGGATATATTGAAGCAACATCTCAAGACATCAGTCAGGAAGTTAAAGCTTGGTCGCAAATGTGTCTTCCAAATGGACAATGACCCCAAGCATACTTCCAAAGTTGTGGCAAAATGGCTTAAGGACAACAAAGGCAAGGTATTAGAGTGGCCATCACAAAGCCCTGACCTCAATCCTATAGAACATTTGTGGGCAGAACTGAAAAAGTGTGTGCGAGCAAGGAGGCCTCACTTACACCAGCTCTGTCAGGAGGAATGGGCCAGAATTCACCCAACTTATTGTGGGAAGCTTGTGGAAGGCTACCCGAAACGTTTGACCCAAGTTAAACAATTTAAAGG